CCCCAAAACCCCAAAACCCCAAAACCCCTTTCCAAGTAAGATTTTTGAAACTTATAAATTATAAATTTTTACCAATGAAATCTTGTAAAATTTTATATCTTTGGGTATTGTCTATGATATTTGAAAGTTTACGGACTCCAAAACTTCGAGGAGGATTTCTACAATAAAATTTAAATACTTACTTGTAGGGGTAACTTTGAAGCCTCTTCTCTTCAGAAATCTCAGCAACGCTCCGAGTGGCTCCATATCTCTCATTTTTAGACATGGGTACCCTCTTTTTGTACATATTGTTAAGTAATTCACCCGATCTGTTACTCTTTGATATGAAATTAGAACTAATCCGAGGAGAAAGTTCAGGTAACTTAGTTGCAATCTTCGCATAATACATCGAAGAATTCTCTTTCTTAAAATTCAAATTTGTCTTCTTAAGAGATTTATTCTTGAAAGCTGAATATTTTCACATTTTTATACTGTAATTTGAATTTTTGAGGGTCACTGGGAGCCCGGTAACCGAACTTGGGATTCTCTAAATGTTATAAGACATATGTACAGGAGAAATTGCCTGAGGGAGTTGAGTATTTTCCCTTTCTGAAAGAGTCTGATCAAACTTGTACAACTCTACTTTATTTAGGTTCCTTGAAGATTCTTTGCTTATGAGATGTTACATGAGGAGTTGCTGAAAATGGGAAGGATATTGTACTGTTATCCCTAATTTTAGGAAACGAATTCTAAAAATTACAGTAAAAGCTAACTTTCTTCTTGATAATACTAATCTTAGCTTTGGCCTTTTTGATATAATTCTCTCTAGTTAGTTTAATCTGCTGGTATCACTGTTGAAGTTCTTCTTCAGGTAAATTATCTACAGATGGTTCACTGTTGGAATCTTCATCTGAGGAGCGATTCTCCTTCTTAAAGATGGTCTCATCTTGGTCAATAATCTTGAAGGCATTAGAAGGTTGTTCATGTAGCTACAATTCATACTAGAAGTTACCTTGGATTCTTCCATGAATGTGTTGACTTCTTTTTCAAGATTTTCGAGATATTGACTTTTCATTGTACTCCCGAGCTCCAAGAGTAGCTGGTCTTCTGAAGTACGAGGTGATATGTCCTGACATTCTTGAGATTTCAGCTTAAACTTTGGTTTATACATCTAAAGTTAGATCCACATAAAAATTACTGTTTGTTTACGATAGGATTTTATAGATTTTGGGGTAACAGAGTCTTGCTTTAAAAATGATAAAACTTGTTTTGAATGGATTGGCTTAGATTTTAGACCTTTAAACTTCGATGCAAGCTTTATTGATCTCTAAAGTTATTAGAAAGGCAGAATTACATTGAGGTTAAGCTTCAATTTTGCTTTGAGGTCTGATCAATCAAGGATTTCTTGTTGGGCTTTCCTGGCAAGTGCATTTACTGAGAAAGGATTGTTTGCAACTTCAGTGTTGGTTTTATCTACATTCGGATTGTATTCAATGCAATCTTCTGTGCTCAAGAATGCACGGAGGGTTCCGTATATCCCTTTACACAGATATTTACCCATCTCGTGATAATCATTTATGGAGTATTTTCATAATACGAAGCACTTGTTAGTCATGTTGAAATATTTGAAAGCATGAAAGGAAGACTCTAGGGTAAATCAATTCAAAATTCCAATATTTTTACCAATAACAGCTCTTGCTGTAGTACTTTTAGATTTTTGGTTGCTGAAAGAACAGCAATCATAAGAGAACATTGGAGCAATCTTGCTCAAAAGTTTAGAAAGGAACCTGACTTGCCAAAAATTTCCCTTCTCTAGAGTTCTCTTGTAAGTATTTCCATAAATAAATGAGTTATTCTTCTTCGAATGACCATGAAGATCTATGAAAATGGAAACCTCTTCTTTGCCAAGAGCATGGATTAAAGATTTCAGATAAAACACTTCAGGATGCATTATTTGATCAGGCTTTGACCATCTTCTGTTAAGATCCACACCACTAAGACTTGTCCTGTTATTGCCATAAAAGACTCCATCAGGATTGAACATAGGGATAATATAGAAGATGCAATTCTCTCTGAGATAGTTAGAGAAGAAGTTATGACTAAGGAGTCCTTTCAGGACTCCTTCCATCACAAAGCTTCCTACTGTTTCTCCTGGATGACACCTTGCCATGATTACCACTGATTGTTTCTTAGTTTGCTTATTTGCTCGGATTGGTTATTTTTAGGATATCAACTTTACGGCCACTGAGAGTCTGTCAGAGTTCTTCTCGTTCATAACTGATCTTGTTTGACTTGATCAATGGTGATTCTTCTACCACATTTTGAAGGAAATGCTGCAACTGAGAATACGAGTAGGGCACACTATGTCATTAAGATTAAGGTCTGTAACAAATAGCTGATGATTGGGCTTACCTGAAAGCGAAATAGACCTCATCGTCTGTGAATTTGGAGGTATAGCTAAATTTTAGTCCATAAAGTTTCCTATTGAGAGGTTAGCCAGGGAATTACTTGTTTTGCCTTGCACTTTCTTCTTGGTTTGTGAAGTACTCAACTTCTGAGGTCTGGTCAGAAGTCCACAATTTGTGATTAATTCTGTAATCTTTGGTGGAGAATGTTGATGGTGACATTCCTTGTTGGAAGGCAGAGTGTTTATTTGGAGAAATTTTGAATTTTGAAGGTATATTTGGTGTTTTTAGACATATATTGAGCTTTGAAGTAAAACCATTGAGTGTGGCCTGCTGTATTAGTGTCAGGTCTAATCCAAAGTTTATAAATTGACTCTCCGTATTCATTTTCTTCCTCCTTGACAGCTTTATGCAAATTTCCGCTTTCAAAGTTTGAGCTAAACTCTAATATTCTTTTTGAATTATCTAAACTTGCCCTCTTGTTACAAAGCTTAGAAGAACCAAAAGAATTTTGAACAGTCATTAAGAAAACTGGATCTTGATACCTATTTAAACTTTCTTCTCAATTGGAGCTACGATCTAGTGAAAGATCCGAAATTCCATTCATTTCTTTTGTAATTGGCAATGAAATTTCAGAATTCAGGAAAATATCAGGATGCTGCATTCTAAGCTTATACAAATCACCTTCATGTTGCAAATGAATCTCTTCAATAAGCCCTGCCAAAGTTTGAGGTATCTTATTTCAACCTAAAAATCAAAAATCCCAAAAAAATTAAAAACTCTCTAACTGGCCCAAATCTCCCAAAACCCCCTTCCCATCTCTAACCCCTTTATTCTTCATCTCCCTTCGTCACCCCTAAAAATAGCCCAAAACCCCCTAGAAACTTCAGTTACGTACTTTTGAAACACCTCTTGAGTCTCTCCACTTCTTCCACTCACTACTGAACTAGTAGTCCCCTCTCTTCGGGAGCGGTGCTTCAGGTCATGAGAAGGTTTAGGACCCATACGATTATTTCTGGAAGCAGAAGCTCCTATCTTTATGGGGCTTATTGTTTGCGAATGGATTTTAGTCAAACCTTTCGTGGTCTTCTTATTTCAGACCCTTTTGTGATCTGAATAAGGTGAGGGATAGAGTCTGAGAGGGAAAAGGATAGGAGATATGAGTACGTTAGGAGACTAACTTACTCTTTTTTAGTATTCTTTCCATCCTTGGGCTTCCATCCAAAAAGCATGTCAGGTTCTAGAGAATGCTGGAATCTCTTTGCTAGTGGCATCGGAGCGTTCCGCTTAGACTCTTTCTGTTGAGGTTCCTTCTCTAAGGATACTTGCAAGGAGCAAGTATTTAGACTTATCGAGCTGGCATTTTCTGGTGTTCTCTTCATTTTTAGAAAAATAAAATTATGGAAGTTCAACTTTCATTCATTATTTTGGGGTTTTGGGGTTTTGGGGTTTTGGGGTTTTGGGG